TATTTCGTCACGGTTCAGGAAAGAATTTGGACGGGTGTATGGTGATAAAACTTTCATCAGTTTTGGGTGACGAAAGTGCAGGAGGAATTTAATATCAGGTTCATGACAATTTTAAATTCTAGAATTATTATTCTTTGTAAGACAAAGATGATAACTGAGTGGGACGTTATGAAATTTAATATTTCTTATTAATGTGTCGTCTGTCTCCAATAATTCCCGGTGGTCTTCGTCATCTTAGAATTAAACTGAAGTGAATTTTGAACATACTTAGACTGAAAGTAACACGCACTCGACCCAGTGGTATGTAATAAGAACCACTTCGGAGCGTGATGTAATGCTGATTGATCAGGGCTGTCCCAAATCTCAGGTGCTGTGACAAAAACGAGTATGGAGAAATGGTGAAATTAGGAATTGTAAGTAAAGCCTGTAATAGTACCGCAGTTGATTACACAGTAAACAAAACCTCTTCTAGGACTGAACTCCGGTCTCCGCGGTGAGAATCAGACCATTTACGAAATGGGGAAATTATAGACTGGGGCCGAGAAAGAAACAAATTAAGGCCTTGGCGATGTTCAGACAATGTTAACAACACGTCCGGTAAGAAATATTACTATTTCCTGCACCCAAAGAATGTATTGATATCAGAAATAAATCAAAGTATTGACGAAACCTGCCAATCAGCACCTCTTAATAATATTTGGTTAAGACTATATAAACACAAAACTCAAAAAATTCCAACATTACAACAGTTACGTATAAGATGCAAACCTAACTATACCAGTTATATTCCATGTAGTCATAAGATTCTGCCACCTAATCTTAACCTAACCATCAGGCCATGTCTCTAAACCTACAGGGAGCGTTGTCCTACACACACAAGCGACTGGAGCGTCATCTAAGCCGAGGCTCGTTACTTGTGGTTTTTTGACGTAATCAACTCGACTAACGCTCTGAAGAAGTGTCTTATTGCAGGATTTCTGTTCTGTGAAGATGTATGTGGGAAGAAAAAGCGACTCTGCGAACCACAGCGAGTCGCTTTATGTCCTCTCGTTAACGGTTCCGTGGCCTTCTACCCGTACTCATCACCGCTTCTAGTTGTGACCACTTCCATGTCATTACCCATCCCTCCAGATGTAGCCTCGGTAGACCAATATAATGACGGCGGTGTCAGGGCGATTTGGGTCTAGAAGACAGACCGGCTAGTACGAAAGTCGATGATGCCCGGTTGTTGTTAATTCTAAGGATACGCACTCCACCAAGGCAATTTTGTGGTACGGGCCGTGACTAATGTTGACACTGTTAATCGCTTTGCCTGAGACACTCTGCATGCTGTCATTAACCTTGTGTAAATTGATGAAAATATAATGTTTTAATACGACGATGTTACTGTGATTTAAAGATAATGTGATTGGCTGTGCATGTAACGCGATTGGGGAAACGAAAAATACATGCAAACAATTCAGAATAAACACCACTAGTGATATCTAGACTTAAAGGTGGTGATGGTATTAAAATGAAATCTAGGAAAATGGGGTGAGACAATGTGGGTGTGGTGGTCTGGTTTGAACAGGTTGAGGAAAAGGTGAAGTAGCTGACTTGTGTGTGGTATGAACTGAAGTGGCTAGAGAATGGTCCTGTGCTTGCCTGTTGTGTTGTTTCGATTGAAGTTGCTGTGGAAAGACTCAATGGATGGATTTTATGTGGCATGGACTGAAATGGCCAAGGAAAGAGTTTAATGCTTTGATAGAAAATAGTAGTCTGCCAGAAGCACAACGTAATATTAATATTTATTGCCTAATTACAATTTACATAGTTAAGGAGGAAATTTATAACTTTGTTTGTGTGCGGTCTGCACTGAAATCGCTCAGAGAAAGGTTTATTGGTTTTCACACTTTAACAATTTTAAACAGGTTAGTCATACCTGGAAATTGTAAAGTTTTCGTAATCTGTAACTTACTGTGAACAATTAGGCCTATAAACAAAAATTAAAATTATGCAATTGTTACTTCAAGATAGGTTGCTTTGTAGCCTCAAACACATATTGAAGAAATACAGTTTGTGTGTGTTAGGGGGAGGGGTGTCAGACTTCATTCATCTGACTGAAGCGAGGAACACGTGGTGGTCTCTTCTGGACACGATAACAAACATTTTGGCTCCTTATAATACGAGAAATTTCTTGACTAGCTGAGCTACTGTACATTTCAAGAAGGACTTTGCTCCGTGGATTTAGGTGTCATAAGTTCTTACCATAACTCTTTTGTTTCCTGACAAGTTAGTGTGTGATGCTCATGTTTTATTCACGGCTGATGTGCGTATCTTGAGAGCCTGTGTAGCATCCGCGGTGCTTCCCTTAACGCCAAGATAGCGGATTTTTTTTAAAAAAAAATTGCATTTTAACATCACTCGGTTACTGTTTCTAAGTAATTTGGATGACATTACAATATGGTCTTTAACCAGCAAATGCTGCTTTTTTGATGTTAACCTGCTTACCACCTAATGACTGTGAGGGATCCCCACCTGACATTACCTGACTGCCGCTCACGCAAAGTAGAATGATTGACTTAATGAGCACGCGTTAGTGGTTTATCCACTTTTCTAATTTTAGCCTAATCCTATTTCCCAAAAGGAACTAAAGATATCACTTCACAGATTAGTTTCGTTCTTATCTTTCTGTTGTTTTACTCTCGTTCGTGGACAAAGCGCTCAGGAGAGAGAAATCACAGTGTAAAGAGGAAGTTACTTAACCCTTTAAAGCCTAGCGGTGTCTACAGACTAAGTGCCACCTGCTTAAACAGTCTTTCCTTTGCCATTTTCCACACAGATTGTTCTTATGGGTCTGTTCTCAGAATAAACAGCGATTATTTATCGAAACAGTACGGATTAATTTATATTTGTAATGGTGATGTGTTATGTTTTCTTTATTGACGTAGGACTACATTTTTATATTCTGTTATTTAAATTAATTTATTGTTTTAAAGGATTAATTTACTTCTTTAAACTGTGCACACTATATCGACTGAATCAGTAACGATGAAATTGGCAAGCATGTAACACACGGAAGAAACATGAAATTCACGTAGAATTTTGGTTTGGAAACCTCATGGAATGTTTAAGTTGGAAGACGCAGGTACAGACAAGACGTGTCTTAAAGAAACAAATGAAAATGTGGGTTGGAATGTAGCGGCTGTTCACAGCTTCTGTGCCGGCATTTTGTTTTCACTTTCATGAACGTTTGAGTTGCATGCAAAGGAATTACTTGATAAGTTGAGTAGAAATACTAAAAGCCGGTTCATCTGAGCAAAATTAATCTTCAGCAGCAAACATTTTAGTTTCAGCTCGCCAATCTCATAATCTTTTTTGAGAAATGATGGGGACCGTACAGTGTCTCATCGTACTTAAAGTACATGGTCGTTTTAGTTCTACCAAAGGCCATCGTAATTGTAAAAGAGTATCTCGAGTGTTTGGCTTTTGATATTTCCATTTTTGGGATTAAGAAAGAACGTTTCCTCAAAACGTTATTAGACGGGTAAATCGGATAGTTGAAATTCAAGAAACAATGAGACATTCAATTTTAGCGCCATTTGTTGCGAATTCTGTCAAAATTAGTATTGCTTCGTCGTTATCATCCCACGTTTGTGTGGTTTCGTCCTACATAACATAAATTGGACGACTTTCCACGTAAGTAGGGTTCTGCGATCTGAAGTTTCAGGTTTTCAAGGTGATAAAGATTAAGATTTTTGTCTGTGGTTTGTGACGCCGTGTAGCGTACCACTTCCATGTCTCGGATGGCAGATACTCTGAAGATGGAAGTGAAAAAATCCTCCGAAACAACGGCAACAACACTACATGGCTTCACAACCTATAATTTCGCGATGGACAGACTTTTTTGAGAAATAAAAAAGTATCTGAGGAATGTGACGAATGCAGGCTCTTAATATTACGTCAAATGATATGGCCCGTATTCTGATAATTGACTTTCAAGACAGCACGTTAAGGTTATTTAGTTTAGAATAATCGTCCCTTTGTTTAAGTGCCTATACAGTATAAACATTACAGCTGAATAAGATGCCACCTAATTTCTGGAGTGATGCCCTGAATCTCCCAGAAGCATTCAACGGACATGACTCTGCAGGGAAGGCTGAATGCTACAATCCACAATTCCATTTGTGTGTATGTACATTTCCCATCTGAAATCCTAATTAATACTGTCTGTTAGTTGACCTACATCTGGAGGGAGAGCGGAATTGTGTGGCGCTAATCCCACCCCCACTTTCTGAACCCTCGTCCCTCGCCACGTCACGCCAACGAACTCACTCGACTCTCTTGATGGGGCGCCACAAGGGAAGAGCAATGGGAATATTGATGAGGAAGAGGTTAAGAAGCCACACGACTCCATTCAGATCCGTCCCGTGGTAATATCAAGTTAGAAAGTCAGAGACTTAGGGAATTATGGCCGTAACTAAGAGAAGGTTTAACTTAAAGTTCCCATGAATAATGAACCGTATACATTCTTACACTGAAATAATTTTGCATGTTACCCATTGTATGTAGTCGGCTGCTATTACCGCCTGAAGATGACTGGTTGTCATTGTACTGATATATTATTAAAATGATGCCAGATTTTTATACGTTGCAAATATTCTTTTCGCCATTTTCTTTCTAAATGTCCTACAACTTTATCCTTTCGCAAGGGTGACAGACCTACTTACACACAAATGTGAAACAGCAGATACATTTACTTAATTATTTACTTTCTTAGATAGAATGCCTACGAAGATGACAAAACGTCGTTATATAAAATACCAAAAAAACAACATAAACTGACATATACAGAACATGAAAGACGAATTAGATGTGTTTTCGAGGTTTCGGAGTATTTTTAAAAACGAAGTCCTTACAGAAAGAAATTATACACATGTCTCATGACCGAACACTAAACTTTATGTAAATAAAAGAGCGACATTCTTAAAAGTTAAAGGTGGACACTTTGTCGTTTGCAGAGTCAACTACCAGGTGTCGGGGCTGCAGCCTCTTTGGTTTCACGTGTGCAACGTATTCCTGCACGCTGCTGCCTCTTTGCTGTTCACACGCGTGACCCTTGCTGTCGCCGGACTTCAGCCAAACTTCGCCGGGGCTGCGGGAGTCCTCTTCGCTGCGCACCCCATACATACTGAGGCGGTGAGTACACTAGAACACTTTATTGTTACTACTGGAGAGTGTGACAGGTCCGATCTTCTACCGTGGCATCATTTAGGATCAGGTGGTTTAGCTATTGTGTGTCATTTACCCTCATCCTGCTCTGAAATTGATGAATAAAAATTAACAAAACACACGAATATACACAAAATTTAGTGAAATTTTGTTTTAATTGATTTACTACGTTATAAAAGAGATAATTTTTCCGAAACTTTACTAGTGTTTGTATCTCACATATTGGGACCATGGACTCAGTGATTAAATGTTCGTTCTCTCGTCTCTTCCACCCAGCACATTCTCCTCATTGATTTCACATCCCAACAATTCTTGGGAAAAATAACAGTTATGGAGCTCGTATTGATACAGTTGTCTCCAGTATCCTTTCACTTTGTCCCCCCTTGGGTCAGTACCTTGTTCTCAGTCGCCCTAAACCTCCTGTACGTTTTTCAGAGTGAGATATTAAGTTTCGCATGCAAATTCGAATGATGAACCGTAACTATCCATTTTGGGCTACGCATTACTGTTCTTATTTTGTGCCTGTTGTAATTTACAAATTTGACATCTAAATGGTGTTTTTTAATACTGTTTCTCGTGGAATTCTATTAGAATGTTCGTATTGATCAAAGTGATAATGTAATATTATTGTGCGTGCTTTGCATTCCACATTCCACTAGCACCAATCTCTGTGACTGGAACAAACAAACAAATAAGCCTTGTTGTCAGAGGCTTTAGATCTCAGAGCTGTATAATATAAGCCGTCTATGAAATGTACTGAAAGAATTGCATCACACAGTCAAAAATAGTTGAATTAGGGAAGGGAGTGTTAATATTTATTTTATCAATATTTATGTTTTTAGGCTGAAGAAGTATAAATATTTAGGTCCTAGGAACGTTTATTTAGAATTCTGTTATCTGTGTTTTTGGTTTAATGTAAATAGTTTCTAGTAAAGGGGAACAGTTTTTGAATTGAAGAAGGACGTAAGTATCATTAAATAAATTTGTCGTTGTGCAGTTAATTGTCTGGTGAAACGTTTAGATTGGCTGACGGATTTATTTACTTCATATACAGTGTCTCTGAGCGGTTTTTTTTATAATATATTCACTTAGGCCCTTCTTACTGAAGATGTCACCACATCACAGTAGACTGATGGTGATGGAGGAATGAATTTATGTATAGCGTCCCTGCGTTAGACTATTTGTTGGCAAATCTCTGGTCTCAACTATACAAACACACAACCGAGAGAAGAGTAGAGCCACTGAGTAAACACATAGAAAACCAATCACATTCCCAATTACAAGCTTTACTTATGTACTGTGGAACTCTCCCCCCTATCTAAACTTATCCTGCAATTGGGACAGATATATCAAATACTTGCAAAGTGTTTACACGCTCAGTGGCAAAGAAAATGATAATTGAATGATGCTACCAGTACGTATTAGATTTTTTCACGGCGATAAGAGTTTATGTTGTATTCTTCTGGGTTATTACGCTGTGAAGAATATGCTGTCTCCATTTTCAACACTGAAGACCACAATATAAATTCTGGTGCAGTAAGGCAGTGACTGAAGTGTTTTCTGGAAGGTAAAAAAGGCAAAGTCGTCCCTTTGGCTATTAAATCACCAGACCATGAGGATGTAAGGGCTTGTGGAGGTCTAGCTGTACGTATAATCATTCGATACGAGGTTGAGTTGGTCCGGGTTGGACGCGCTGTCGAAGACATGAACCCATGCCCTGCCGGGAATAGAATTCCGGGCGTTCGGCCATTAACCTACTCATTATACTAACTGAGCTCTTCCGGTTTCCATTTCATAATTTTTTTACTATTGTCGAGTCCCATGGTGTATTTTTAGGTACGTCGGAACTTGTGGTTAGAATAGACTCATGAAATAAAACAGATTTTGCACGTTGAAAGATACAATTAATGCACAAATGTGGAAATTTCAACGTGACACTTTTTTCAACACTGTTCGCTATCTTATATACTTAAATTTACATTTATTTATTAAATTTTTGTTGCCCTAGTGTTGTTTGTATTTTCTTATGCATACACATTATGCCATTATAGCATATCTATCGTTAATATTAATAAATACTTTTATCTGGTACTCAATTTTTTTGTTACTTGTTAGTAAGCTGTTAAATTCTTCATCAGGCTGTGTTCAAATTAGAGTATAAATGAAAATTTTTAAGGAAGCATGGACGCCGCTCTGGGATGTATATACCTTGTCGCTTTATTTCAAGTTTGACGGCCAACATTTTGTGTAGAAAAAATATATAATTATTTATCTATATTATTATTTCGTTGCATTTGTACATTTACAGCCCAGTAAATAATTTAAATTTATGTCTATGTGTGTGTGTCCTGGGCTTCAGTCAGTAGTGACTGAAGATAAACCCCGCTAATTGTGATCTGTATATAGTGGACTGAACTCGCTCCGACTGCCATCATTTCTGTTTCCTTCTGTCGTTAACTCTCGATTTTGGGTATATAATTGTAGATGGGGCCTTGTTTCACGCAAGTGCGCAGTGTGCATGACGAAGACCGTAGCTGGAGTACAGATACGTGTGCAATGCATCAAATCCAACCCCGAATGTAGCTGCTATTTTTTTCTCATCAAGGCAGGCCTGCGTCAACCTAAATCCACCCACTTACTAATTTATCATTTTTACATGCCTCACGTCTACATTATCATCTGTTACTCCCATTTCTCGCTCTTTCTCATAATAATAATAAAAATTGACAGTGGAACCACGGTTCCCTAATTAACGTTGAATAACGTTTAACTGTAGAAGTATATTTGTACAGAAATAAAATTTTATTTACACATTAATGTATTCCTCTACATCTTATCTATACGTGACGTCATCCACGGACAGCTTATCTATGTGTTGCGTCATGTACTCAACACACTCACTCTAGAACCGTTCTCTGTTACCAAATAAATGGCCAAAACTCCTAAACCGTAAGAGTTAGCTGAAATCTGTTTGCAAATTTGAAAAGATCGTGTTTATTTACGTATTTCACTTACAATATGTCCCGATCTAACTCTTACGCTTTAGACGTGGCAAGCGGTTGAAGTTAAGGAACGAGGGTATAGGTATTACATGTTTTGGGTAATTATTTCAATATGCATTATAGAATAAAGCAAACATCATGTAGAAAAAACCCTTTATTTACTCTTTAATTTACATTTAGGTTTATATTCTCTATCTTACATAGGTCTCGAGTTATTGGCGTTTGAAGAAGTTGCACACCAGCGTTACCTTACATCTTACAGTTTCCTTTGAGTGTACCGTGATTTTCTCGGGTTCGATTCCCGACGGTACCCGAATTTATAACTTGTGTTGGGCAAGGCCGTGGCCTAGGCAACACGGAGTTTTCCTCCGGGGTCTTCCCCGATTTCTCCGTGGCATCCCAACAATTACTCCATTCACACACAGAAGAAGGCAATGGCAAACCACTTCTAGATCATCTGCCAAGAAAGTATATGAACAGGTCCCAGTCCGAGAAAAGGATGGAAGGATCCTGTTCATATGGACCTGTCGTCAGACAGAACATTTAAAAAAAGTTAAAAAGCTAATTGGAGCAACTGAATGAAGAGGGAAATCCTATCTGTACTTGGCTCTGCTCATTACATTCCAACCAATTAACTGTATGCAGTTCAGTATCTTTTCATTCTCTACACGAAATAATGAATTTTAAAAGTGGTCCTCATCGGCCTATGTTATTTCGACACTTATACGATTGCATACGAGTGACACTACTAAGATGGTACTGTCATTTATAGTGAAAACAACTACGAACTAACCCTTGGGGCAAAAATAGCATCTTGTTATTAAGAGGTCCACGGACGATGTCCTCTCGTCCTTCTGGTAATGAGAGTGAAGACGTTATGGTCGTAAGTAGTGAAGTTTCAGACAGAGACGGCGGGATTTTAATTTTTTGTGAATTTTGAGATGATCATTTGGAAATTACATTTTTAGTTTGCTGGAATGCTGACTAAGGAAGGTCCTACGACCGGGCATCTTATCACAGGATTTTTGTGGTTTTCCTCCGTCTTAAAGCAAATGATGAGGTGGTTCCCAGGTTCCAAGTTGCTGCTGCATGCTTCTCAATCAGTATTCCCGATTTAAATTAATCAAAATTCCCCCTCCCCCCCACTCACTGCTGTGGAGGTCACTGACTTGAAGCGTGATGTTCTTCCAAATAACATTTAAAATCCAGTTTTACCACAAAGAAGATATCACTTCCATTACGAAGATCAGATTGTTAATGCTATTTAGAGAAATAATTGCAAATATATTGCCTCTCTCATGACCTCCAGTTCACCTTCGCCCCTTTATCATCCTATCGGCGTCTCTTCACTCGTCTACCGTGAAGATAGAAACTATACGATACGTTCCTTCAAAATGTTAGTAATGACCTACAAGGTTACTCCATCATCACCACCAGAAGACCTCAGTAACCGATTTCTTTTATGATTTGAGGTTTCGCCCTGATGACGGAGGCAGTGTGGCCTCAGAAACGTTGGTTAACATCGACCAGACTACACAGCGCAACAACTCAGAAGACAGAAATCTTCATCGCGCTGATGACAGAGGCAGTATGACCTCCGAAACGTTGGTTAACATCGACCAGACTACACAGCGCAACAACTCAGAAGACAGAAATCTTCATCGCGCTGATGACAGAGGCAGTATGACCTCCGAAACGTTGGTTAACATCGACCAGACTACACAGCGCAACAACTCAGAAGACAGAAATCTTCATCGCGCTGATGACAGAGGCAGTATGACCTCCGAAACGTTGGTTAACATCGACCAGACTACACAGCGCAACAACTCAGAAGACAGAAATCTTCATCGCGCTGATGACAGAGGCAGTATGACCTCCGAAACGTTGGTTAACATCGACCAGACTACAGAGCGCAACATCCCAGAAGACAGAAATCTTCAGCCTATTTCTTATTTTATTATCAAC